CATGTGTGCAAGTCAAAGAGATGATCTCCTAGCGCAACATCCCGCATGTGTGCAAGTTAAAGAGATGATCTCCTAGCGCAACATCCCGCATGTGTGCAAGTCAAAGAGAAGATCTCCTAGCGTAACATCCCGCATGTGTGCAAGTCAAAGAGATGATCTCCTAGCGCAACATCCCGCATGTGTGCAAGTCAAAGAGATGATCTCCTAGCGCAACATCCCGCATGTGTGCAAGTCAAAGAGATGATCTCCTAGCGCAACATCCCGCATGTGTGCAAGTCAAAGAGAAGATCTCCTAGCGTAACATCCCGCATGTGTGCAAGTCAAAGAGATGATCTCCTAGCGCAACATCCCGCATGTGTGCAAGTCAAAGAGAAGATCTCCTAGCGCAACATCCCGCATGTGTGCAAGTCAAAGAGATGATCTCCTAGCGCAACATCCCGCATGTGTGCAAGTCAAAGAGATGATCTCCTAGCGCAACATCCCGCATGTGTGCAAGTCAAAGAGAAGATCTCCTAGCGCAACATCCCGCATGTGTGCAAGTCAAAGAGAAGATCTCCTAGCGTAACATCCCGCATGTGTGCAAGTCAAAGAGATGATCTCCTAGCGCAACATCCCGCATGTGTGCAAGTCAAAGAGAAGATCTCCTAGCGTAACATCTCGCATGTGACATGTGTGCAAGTGCAAGAGAAAATCTCCTAGGGTAACATCCCGCATGTGACGTGTGTGCAAGTGCAAGAGAAGATCTCCTAGCGTAACATCCTGCATGTGTGCAGGAACGCAAAGAAACCGAACGTTATTACCCCCCCCACCCCCCACCCCCCCTACAAAACACTGCGGGGAGTGGGAAAAATTAGTCCACAACACGTAATTAGGTTGTGTGCCGATTTGGTCCAAACGCGCGTTTTGACCAGTTCGGAGCCACCAACAAAGAACTTCGCTTCTTGGTTCTGTTGTTTCTTCTTTGTTGTTCTTCTCATTTTGTTTTTGTCTCAGTCTTGCGAAGCGCTCAATTTGCGTAACCAGTGCTGTTGCAGTTCTTATCAGATACATAGCGCAACTATACGGATCGTTCGGCCTTAGCAAGGCCGTCACCTATCAAAAGAAGCCTGGGCAGTGTGAGACCAATATTGACATTCACCAACAAGATCAACTAGACTAATTACTCAGCACCCAATTCTTGCTGTTTATGGCTTTTAAGACTTTTAAATTTTAATCGTGAGGGGGAATGAACAATGTGCATCTTATGAATGAAGCTGTCCTCTGCAGCCTGATGCAAGGCACAAGGATCGGCAATGTTCCAAGTTGGCAACCTGTGTCAAGTTGTATGTATAGCTTGCCCCAACGGCATCACCTTGACATGCTCGACCACTCCCTCCATCCAAATCAAGGAACGGTTCATATCTCTGGCATACAGCATTGCTCATATCCACTGTTGCACCAATGCCCTGAGAACGAACCCAAAGACGGCATGACCCGACGGTTGAGTCGTATGCAATTCCCTTGCATGGCTTTCCTACTACATCTCCTTCGGCCTGTTGTACACAAAGATCCTGACAAGCTTGCAGAGATCCAGCCGGAAATTGCATGAAATAGCTGGAGTCTAGATCACTGCCATCATGGCCGCGACAGTCGCGTCCCATGCCTCCATCCACATCTCTAAATGGCTCGTAGCTGAAACACTCAGCTTCAAGGTCACTTGTCATGTTGACTGAGTTGATCGCGATTTCAGAAAGCCAAATCCTGCATCCTTCTGGGCCAAAGTCAAGACCCCGGCAGCCAGGAACTGCGATACAATGGAGTTTGCATCTGTCGAGGTTTACATCGGGGTAGACAGAGAAAACCACGCCACTGCATGTCCCATGACCCAAGGACTCAAAAGCACTACTGTCTTCGAACGGGTCATAAATTCCAAGCCGAAGGCAAAGAGTACCACTTTGGTCCGAGGACATTTGGATGCCTCTTCTTCTTTTCCAAACCAAGCAGGTCTTCACGCTGCTTCGGACATCGTACTGAATGCCCTTGCATCCAGCCGTAGAAGTACACAATGCTTTGCATTCCTGCAAAGACAAATCGCTCAAGATAGACACATGCCGAGTGTAGTAGCCTGGCCAAGCATCATCCGGTAGCATCCCTCTACACGCCCTGTCCATTCCTCCATGAACAGCTATGAAAGGTTTGTAGCGCATGCATGATCTGTTGACATTCGCATAACTCCCCATGATACGGGAGCTCCAAACTTCACAGCTTGTCTCGTTATATTCCACCCCCTGACAGCCCACACTTTGCGCACAAGCTGATCTGCATTGCTCAGCGATGGAGTCAGCAGGAAACTGCAAAGCCGTTGTTTCAACTGGGTCAACGCCATAACAGCCATGCCTTGCCCCGCCATCAACTCCAACAAATGCAGAATACCGAAGGCAGCTTGTTCCTGAAAACCCAATTGATGTCGTGACAATCACTGTCCATACCTTGCACCCGTATCCATTTAATTCAATGCCCTGACACATGGGATTTTCCAAGCACCTCGACTTGCAGTCTTCGATAGACTTGCTTGCTGCAAAGAATTCGAAATAAGATGGGCTCCAATCCGAAGCGTTCATACCACGACATGCACGGTCACTGCCTCCGTCTATTTTCTCAAAAGCATCTCCTACGCTGCCTGTCTCGCCATGACGCAAGCACATGGCGCCAGAACGAGGAACGGTTTTTTCAATGCCTGATACCCGTGTCCAAACGTGGCAATAGGCATTGGTGAATTCAATACCCTTACAAAATGGAGCATGCTCTGCACACAGAGCTTTGCAGCCTTGTAATGACACATTGGCGTAGCTAGTGTAAAAATGTTCATCAACATCATCACTCCGACCACTACATCCTCTATCCATAGCATCCACTAAAACAAACGGCGAAAGGGGCTGACACACCACTCCCCTCAATTCCACCGATGCGCCGATCCCTTCTGTGCGAGTCCAAAGCTCGCAGCGATTCCCGCCAAACTCAATTCCCCGGCACCAAGACAGAGACCCGGAAGATCCCAAGTTGGCCAAATTGCGCTGTAAGCAAAGATCCTGACAAGCTGCCAAGGAATCAGTGGTGGTGATCTCATAATAGGCTGGATTGTTGTCAAATTCGTCTTTCCCCCGACAGGCACGATCTTCTACACCTGCTGCCAAAACAAAAGGAACATAACGCAAGCAAACAACTCTCAGTGTCACAGCAGTGGCTTGAATACCACCTGCCCGCACCCAAACTTCACAGCGTCCAGGTCGAAACTCTATGCCACGACAGCCTGGAGTGTCCACACATGCTCTCTTACATGACTCCAGTGACTCGGCAGCAGCTTCTCCACGCACGATGTAGTAGGAGCCATCGTCATCGAATGGGTCAATACCACGGCAAACTCGGTCGTAGGCTCCGTCCACGTCCACCGGCATAAATGAATCTGTGATCTGAAACTCTTTGCGTTCTGTGCTCAATTTGCGTTGAACAAAACCTAGCCCGGAGTCGCCGTGCCTTAGACGCAACACGATATGTGATAAGCAAGAGGTGCAAAGCAGTGCAAAGTTGAAGGAAGTGGCCAAATCTTTCAACTGTCTCATCTTTGTCCGCATTTGGCATGCCTTTTTCGAACAATTTTGAACAAAGCTCTACAGGGTTGGATATTCATCATCAATACCTGCTTAGGCAATCTTAGGCACTTTCGAGGGTGAAAGGTTCTGATCAGGTAGCCCAGCTTGCTGTGCCCCTTTGCCGCACTGAGTTGTTCGTTTGGCCCGTATAAGGAAAACGTCTACCGTCTAAAGAAACTTATCATGACTTCCATCCTTGAAAGGAGCTGTTTCTCCCACATTGCTGTTCAATGTTTACTTAGTTTACTTCTATGCAAGATTGCAGATTGATGCAGATTGCACAATTCCCCAAAGACTTGATGGAGTGTCACGGTGTGATTTAGTTCCACGAGAATCAATGTTACGGACATAGACATACTGCCTTCAGAAAATGAGCTTAGAAATAGATTGAACTTGGCTTCTGAACGCGGCTCTGAAGAATTCCGGTGCTACCAATGCCTTCACATCATTCTGGCAAAACTAAAGCAACTTCAAACAAGATGAAAGAAATTGAAAGAATGCTGGATCAGCCCAGCCGCCGTTGAGACACGTTCCTCAAAGCGAGTTCCGCAGTCTGCCATTCCAACTCTTGTGCTGGAACAGCTGCTGGAACAACCCAGCATGTTGCCAGGCAAAAAAGTGAGCTCACCTCACAGGTGCAACCAATTTCTGCCCAAATCTGCTCAATTCATAAAAAATAAAAGTATATCAAACATATGTAAACAATTTATAAACAGATATCAAATATATTCAAACATTGCTATCCTGCAATGCCCTGTAATATGTGTGCATAACTGTGTATAGCTGCTGTACACACCTATCATTCAAGACTGTCGAAGAGTAGGTCCGGTCAAAGCAAAAGAGGGGCCACACACCATCCAGAACTAAGGAATGACGATTCAATTCATGTTCATCAATGAATCAAAGGCCTCAATCTAAAGACCAGACATGCTTTGAGACAATCAAGACTGCAGGAACTGCAATGACATGCAACTGACATGCGAGAGTCAAGGCTAGTCAAGGCAACAAAACTGGGATATACTGGGAAGATCTGGGAAGGCAGTAGAATCTTCAGAACTTGTGTAAACGCTCAACCCCCAAACAAACAGCATGCATACGTAACATACAAACATGAATTGCTAGGCAGACCAGAAATTGCGAGAATGAAGCATGTGCCACCCTAACGTCGCTTCTGACAAAAGATTCAAACGCCACGAATATGGTTATGAGTTTGCATGGAATATATGAGTGTGCTGTCTGTGCCAGAGTGCGGACCCGAGACCCAACAGCTACTGTTACTCGTGCATTGCAAAAGAAGGCAAAAAAGGTTTGATACTGTCAGAGGTGGATGTAACATGGACTTGATCCAATTTTTGTTGCCGTCATGATCAAGTATGTTCTATCATGTTCTATCTTAGATTCTGAAATCTGTCGATACAGGAATATCAGGAATGTAAAATCAAACCGTTGCACAACAAAGCACTGTGTTGAGCTTGGTAGCACTCATAGTCAAGGTCATGACGAGCTCTACTGGCCAGCCGAATTATTGTCAACTCAGGCTACGCAGCTAGAGATTGAGCTGAACAGCCTCGAAAAATTAACAGGTTCATGCTGCCCATCACAAGAATCAAGTTGAAGATTGTGGAGACCGCGAAGAAGTAGAAAGCATGGGTTGCAGACCAAATGCTCGCACTTCTATATCTTCCAAATTTGAATCCTTCTGCTAACAGTGCGACCTTCGATAAGTCTATGGCCAATCATTTACAGGATGCCGGACGCCAAGATACAAGTATATAATGTCGTCCTGCTTTTATATATATATATATATATACATACATATATATATATATAATGTCATCCACTGTGATCCAGGGTGCCTCATTTTCCAGCAATGCTTGAAAATCAACGGTTTCGTACAAAAACATCAGACAAAGAAACATTTGACTTTGCTGGGCTTTCAAAATGTCTGCCTTATTTGTCATGTCCACCCTTGAGTCCTTGTTACAACATTGTGCATGAGAGTAGGCATGCTGCTCTCGATACCCGCTTCCCGAACTTGAATGCACTCCACACTGGCTGCCCAAGCTGGCATCACAATCACAACCACCTTCGCTATTCTAGATTGCTAGGACCCAAACAGAATACTAAACAGCGAAGCAGACTACAATGTGTTCTGCAAAAGTGACGCTGCATTTTTCGCGAATACTTGTCTTTCTCCTTTTTCGTTTTTGTGGACCGATTCATTTCTGCCAAATTGCTGTCTCCACGCGCCACAAGCCTATATAATTGTGTCTGCAAATCCAGGCAAGTTAAGTGGGTGCGGTTCAGTATATGCTGACAGCAGCATGAACTTGTTGATGTTTTGCCCTCTTTTCGTTGCTGACTGGAATCAATCGGTCCTGAGGAATTTTGCTTATCATCGCAGATCCCGGCTGATCCCTACTACCTGTCCTTGCACATTAATTTCACAGTTTAAAGTTTAAATACAGTACTGTAGAGTCAAATAAATATCTTGTATACTAGGCTTGTTCTTCAGCTTCTCGCTCCCCTACACTGCTTCCAGAACCCACCTGTAAACTACCAGCTGGCACTTCCTGAGTCGCATCTGCTTGTGGCTCAGCAGATTTTATCCTCAGCGACAACGTCAGTCCTATTCCCTGCCCAAGCTCTGGTGGCTCTGGCGAGAAAGGCCAAAATTCAGTGCTCTACAGGATTCATAACAATTCACAATTTGATTCACAAAAATTCACAGAACTCACCATCTAGTGTGAATTTCCACACCTTTGGATGAGAACTAGTGTGAATCTAAAGATGAAGCTCCAGCAGAGCCAAACCGAGCCAAGCCAACACTGCGCAAGACCCAACATGGCACTAGGGAGTTTTTGTTCAATCCCTCCAGCCCTGCCCTCTTCAAAGGCGTGACATGGACAAATGTTGCAACATTCTTGTAGACTTTGCTTATGCAGAAAATCCTTGCAGCGCAACTACCAACATGATCACTTTCCACACTGCCTCAGCAAAGTCGTGGAGCGGCGAGGCCGTTTTCAAACCTACCCACAACCAAATCAGCCAGGGCAGTGGAACACTGCAATATGAGTATCAACCGTATTCCAACTTATCCCATGTTCAGTGTTGCCTTTTCCCGCACGATTGCCATAGATTCATATAGATTTCCTGTACAGATAACGCGAATACTTCATTGGCCTAGATCAAACCCAAGCCGACTGGAGGCGGAAAGACATTAAAGGAAAAAAAAACAGATCGGGTCCAAACTGAAGGTAGCTCCGAACTCAACATATTGAACCCAAAGGCAATCAGAATCAAACAAAATTGCAAACCGCTGACACAAATGATTGAAGACTTGCTTCTCTTGCTGATACTATGCCCTTCAATGCTGCTCTGAGAGGCCAATGTTGATGACGAATCAAAGGTTTCTAGCTCACTGTAGCGGCATGTGCCTGATACACAAAGCATAGCAAAGCATAGCAAACCGAGCGCAACACCAAAACAGCAAGGAAACAACTTAGTGAAAGAGGCATTAAACAAGCACTTCCAAGCTAGGAAATCTCAACAAATGTGCCTTCCAAGGGCTGTGAACAGCTCTTTGCATGGCTACGCACCACGAGACTTCTGAGAGACAAACCAGCTGTCAACTCGCAGGCAACACCAACTTGATCGGAATCAATTTTCAACATATTGTATATAAAACACATATTCATATACATGTATATATATATATATGTATATGTATATCTATATTTATATGTATATGTATATGTAAATCTAAATGTAAATGTATATGTATATGTAAATGTAAATGTATTTGTATATGTATATGTAAATGTAAATGTATTTGTATATGTATATGTACATGTAAATGTAAATGTAAATGTATTTGTATATGTATATGTATATGTATATGTATATGTGTATGTATATGTATACGCAGTACAAGTAGAACCCGCGCAAGGCCGGTGGCGGAAGTTTCCAGGTTTAAGAAGTGCAACGCTATAGGATCCAAAGGCAAGGTTTGCCTAATAGGGCCTATAGGAGCTGTGGCAGACTTGAATGCTCTTTTCCGGGGCTTCTGACCTCTTGTCGCAAATTGTGAAACCACTTGTCAACTCTTCCAACGACTTCTCACCTCTTGTCATCTCTTTTCAACGACCTTCATTTCTGTGCACATCTTCTTGACTCTCCTCTCTTTTCATCTCTTTCTTCTCCTCTCAACGCCTTTGAACTCGTGTTGGCTCACCTCACCCCAGTTCCACCTGTCCATTTCTTCTCAGCACGATCGAGGTGACACAGGTGCCTTTCCATTCGATCATGGCTTTCAACATTCGATTGTGTTATCGCGTGTTATCATTCTCGTGTCATGTACTATCATTCAATCCCACTGGACTGTTGACTGTTACCTGTGGGTCCAACTTTCAAGCACGCTTGGGCCGCAGCATTTTTTCCACGCGTGCGAAGAGATGTGACGTCACGAGCAGCCATCTGTCAAGAGCGCGCGTGAGGAGCACAGCGGCACGCGTCTTTGAGTCCTGCTGCTGCCCGAAGGACGATACGAACAAGGACACGCAAGCAGCATAGCTGTGCGCGCCACCGGAATGCAGGGAGGCGTGGCAATGCAGGCAGCACAGCCGTGCGCTCTTCTTCCTTGCTTCTTTCTGCTACACTTCCAAAATGTCGCCATCGCAATCCAGCTTGTGCAAGGTCTCCGGGAAGGTGGCGTCGACCGGAACGTTGAGAAACAGTCGCTTGGTGCTCAGTTCCTTAAGGTACGGCCGCCAAAAGAGTGGATGCCGTTCCAACGGAAAGCATTCGCCAAGGGTGAGGTGCAACAATGACTGCGGCAAAGGCACGTATAAATCCTGTTGAAAAAACCGCCCCAACACGAGGGTTTCGAGTTGGTCTGGTAGATTCGCAGAAGCCAGGGAGTGATTGGAGTCAGAACCAAAATGCAAAAGCCGCAGCTGCGATGGCCAGCGAATGCCATCCAGTGCCTGATCGAAACGATTGCCGAAGTGAAGCTCGCAGAGCGTTGCTGGCAGAAGAACGTCCTGCAAGGGCCTATTGAATGTCATGCCAAAGGCCAAAGTTTGCAGACGCCGCGGCCAGCGGATGTTGCAGCGACTGATCACTCGACGAATTTCCCATGCCCAAGTGCTGCAATATACCGCCGGCAAACCGATTTTTTGCAGGGGCCACTTGCAACGATCCCCCAGATGCAAGTGCGTCAGGCCGTCTGGCAAGTTAGCCGCCCCAGGAGTCAGCGAGAACAAGCTGCTGGCACGCAGATGTCGCAAGCTGACGGGCCAGCGACAGAACGGCAAGCGACAGCCGCCGCCGGTGAAGTTGTTGCCAAAGCAAAGTTGTTCCAACCGAGGCGGCAGCCGCACGTTGTCTATGCACTGGCTGAAAGAAGCCCCAAAGATCAGCGCATGCAAAGTATCAGGCAGCTGCGCATCAGCCAGCGGCTGATCGAACAAGGTGCCAAAGTGGAGTTCCCGCAGCGCAGGCGGCGCAATCCATTCCCGCAGCGGTCTATATTGTAGGAAGGCCCTATAGCCTCAGAATCTCCAACGCATGCGGCAAAGCGGCGCCCGAGAGGCTCTCGTTTTGAACGTGCTCAGCAACGCTAATTCCTGCCGCGACGCTGGGAAACAAAGCGAGGCTATGGTGCGGTCGAAGCTGCAGCCCAGAACCAGAGTCTGCCTGCAAGCTGGCAGGCAAATGCCATGGCAAGAGGCTGCTGCGAAAGCTAAAGCCCAAGTGCAAGGCACGCAGTGCCAACGGCCAAGCAACGGTGCTCAAGTCCTGACAAAAACAATGCCCCAAGTAGAGCTCCCGCAGTCCCTCGGGCCACGAGACTTTCTGGACGGGCATATTGAACCGTCTGCCAGTGCGCAAAACTTGTATAAGCTTGCTGGCAAAGCCACCCGATCCATCCCGATCCAAAGAACGATTGAAAGCAAACCCGCAAGACGGAGACTCCAATCGCAGAGGCCAGCGTACTTCGGAGACATCGTCGTCGAAGACTTTTCCGAACGTCAGCGTTCGCAAGCTGGACGGCGGGATGTGCAGTTGCGCAACATCGACCTCCATCTTGTCATGCAGCGTCAAGATTTCCAAGCCGCATGGAAGGCATCGCAAAATCGTGATGTCCCACCTATAAGATCAAATATTACTAAATTTAGTAAAAACTAAATTTAGTTTAAAAGAGTGATTTTAGTAATTTACTAGGCTACTAATTTTAAACAAATCCAGCTACATCAAAAACTAAATTTAGTTGGGAACTAAATTCAATAGCATTGCTACATGAACATTTAGCTGGGGAGCAATGCAGGCTGCATTATGAATATCCCCACCCTTTTAGCAGGGGAGGGGGACCCCTATATGTAACTTACATTTTCTTTATATTTCAGGTGTCAAAAATGTATTATTACATTTTTGACATCGGACCTAAACATGTAAGCCTTACATTTTTAGGTGTTACGAAAGAATTTGTAATATTACAGTTCCTAGGTAACCTAGAAAATGTAATATTACATTTTGTAGGTGTT